AAACAGTGTAAAAGCTGGCTCTCCGTGTGCACAGGTCCCTGAGGAGCCATCTGTTGGTGTGCATGAAACCACGTAACCGCTGAAATATTCAACAGTTCCATGATTAAACACATTTTCACATCCCTAGTCCAGGCCAATTCCAAAGTTTCCTGATGTTCCTATGAGCACAGATTAAAGCTTCTCAGCCCTAATTTGAGTGCAGTTAGGACATGCAGGTTAATTTTGCTTCACTTCAGCGATGCAGTTTCTCACCAGCACTGCCTGTAAAGAAGACATTCTTTCCACTCAGCACTGCACTCAGCACAATGGACTGTTCTTGAGAGAGTCTCATCTGTGAATGCATTAGCGGAGTTAGCTTCTTGGAACATTTCAGATCAGCCGCCTGAAAGGAAGAAGTTATATTTGTGTACTAACCAAAATGTTTAAATAGCAGCACATACCCTGCAAGACTCATGGACATTAAAACTTTTGGAGGAAACATTCTCCGAAATACCTTCCCCACCCCTCTAAGGATATAAAAGTGGAAATTAATTAGTATCACTAGTCACAATTTTAAATCCTACAATGATCTCCAGTGAAGTAACTGTGTTGCAATTTATTTGCAATGTTACTGTAGCTTTATTAGTCCCAGGATATTAGTCCCGGTCTACATGACAAGTTTAGGTCAAATTTAGCTGTGTTAGGTTGATTTTATGAACAATGAGTCTACACCACCAAGCCTGTTCCTCTGACTTTAAGGGTGGTTAAAATTGGTTTCTATATTCCTCCTTCATGAAAAGAGTAATGCTAAATTCAACCCCCTCGTGTGTTCGATTTTGGGGTAGTGCAGACACAGCACTGTAAAAGTCGATGTTCTTAGACTCCAGGAGATGCCCCACCGTGTCCCAATGTGACCACTCTGGCCAGAAGTTTCAACTCTGCTGCTCTCACAGGTACATAGGAAAAGCCCCAGCAAAATCTGAATTTAATTTCTTGTTTGGCCAACATGGCAAGCACCAAGGTTCCCTGTAAGTGGTGTACCTATTTTCTGAGTTCCTCTCAGAAGTTCAAAGCTCCCATGCAGGCAGAGAGCTCAGTTGACCAGCAAGGGGAGGAGCATCTCATTGAGAAAGCAGCTAAACAGGGCCTGCTTGAAAGGAACAGCTCCCAGAGCAAGTAAAGAAGGAAGATGTTGGATCAGAGTCTGGACACAGTGTATGAAGCAAGCAGAAGTGTTTATTACACACAGCGCTGGTGGAGTGTCACTTCACTTGTTAGGCTTGGTGAACACCGCCAGACAATAGGTTACAATTGATTACATAGGATGCTGATGGGCAGAGGGAAGTGATGGGGGTGGTAGTGGTGGTAGAGGAGAGATCCCGGAGGCGAAATAGGTGCTAACCGTAAGGCGAAATAAGAGCAACAATCTAAAAGGTTACATAGTGTTTTCCGTCCATAGCGTTCAGAATACCTTATCTCTAGTAAATATAGTTTAACAAGTACTTAAAGCAGACATCAATTGTCAATTATGTGTTAAGTGGTGATGTATCAGTTAATGTCAGGATGGTATCTTTGCACGGATGTGATCCATTGGCGTTATGCCTGGGGAATTAAAGCAGAAGGTAATAAGGGTACATGACAATTGCGCATTTGTTCTTAGCACCATTTAATGTGATAGTGCTATGTCCGGTCTCTCACTCGCTGGGTCTTTCCCTGGAATGTGATTGCCTGGCTAGTTATCTCTAGGAAGAACTTCCTCAGATGGCCTAGGAGGGGGCGGTACCCGTCTACTCATGCAACTGTGCCTTTTACTTATGTATTTGTAGGCCTGTTCCAGGCTTGAGATTTAGCATAGGGGTTCTTAACAGAATATAATAGCCTGCCTCAGAAATGTTTACCCTATAGAAGATAAGGAGACAATTAGTGGCTGGGGGGAGAGGAAGAGGGGAGGGACGGAGTACATAATTAATTGGCTGATGAGGAGTCAGAGGGGAGGAGAGTTTGGAAAGTTAAGTCTGCATGAGGCGAGAGAGGCAGAAACTCAGCACTCTCAAGCCTCCTGGGAAGGGGACATAAGCAAGGCTTGACAAACGGCGGTGAAAGCTGCTCGCCAGCCCCACACTGCTCAAGACCCGCATTGCGCATGCGCACGCCGCAAATGAATGGGGCACCCGGCTGAAATCTACTTGCCATGGGCAAGTAGATTCAATACTTTGTCGAGCCTTGGACGTAAGAATGGACATATTAGGTCAGACCAAAGGTCCATCTAGGCCAATATCCTGTCTGCCAACAGTGGCCAGTACCAGATGCCCCAGAGGGAGGGACCACAACAGGTAATCATCACGTGATCCCTCTCCTATCATCCATTTCCTGACATACAGAGGCTAGAGACACTGTTCCTATCCATCCTGGCTAATAGCCATTTATGCACCTAACCACCATGAATCTATTTAGTTCTTTTTTGAACCCTGTTAAAGTCTGAGTTTTCAAAACATCCTTTGGCAAGGAATTCCACAGGCTGCCTGTATGCTGCATGGAAGAAAAAAAAAAAAAAGCTTCCTTTTGTTTGATTTAAATCTGCTACCTATTAATTTTATTTGGTGACCACTAGTTCCTATGTGATGGGAACAAGTAAATACCTTTTCCTTATTCACTTTTTCATACCAGTCATGATTTTAATCGACCTCTACCCTTAGTCTCCACTTTTCTAAGCTGAAAAGTCCTAGTTTTTTAATCTTTTTTTCATATGGGACCCTTTCCAAACACCTAGTCATTTTTGTTGTCCTTCTCTGAACCTTTTCCAATACCAAGATATCTTTTTTGAGATGAGGTGACCACACTTGTATGCAGCATTCAAAATATGGGCATACCATGGTTTTATATAGAGGCAACAAGATATTATTTGTCTTATTCTCTATTCCCCCCCCCTTTTTTATGATTCCTAATATTGTTTGCTGCTGCACACTGAGTGGATGTTTTCAGAGAACTGTTCATGACTGCAAGGTCTCTTGTGAGTAGTTGTAGCTAAATTAGTCCCCATCATATTTTATGTGTAGTTGGGATTATTCTCCCCCCCCCCCCATGTGCATTACTTTTCATTTATCAACATTAAATTTCATTTGCCATTTTGTTGCCCAATCACTTAGTTTGGCAAGATCTTTTTGAAGCTCTTCACAGTCTGCTTTGGTTTTAACTATCTTGAACAGTTTGGTACCATCTGCAAATTTTGCCACCACAATGTTTACTTCTTTCTAGTGGTTTCATTCATGTCTGTGTTTCTGGCTTCTTATGCAACCCACAGTGTGTCGCTCTCTAAGTCAAAAGTAGCTACCCTACTGAGAATGCACTCCATCAGTCTCATGCAGAGTGAGGACATTAATTTTCAATTTTACAAAACTGGCTCAAAAAAAATGGTAATAAATTTGACCTAATCTCATAGTGTAGACATACTACAAGGTGTGAGAGGTAATAATTTAATGAAATTGTCTGGGTGAGAGCACAGGTGCCAACTTTCAAAAGTGCTTAAGGGGGAGGTGTGTGACCCTTGTCCTGCCCCACCCCGTCCTTTCTACCGAGTCAGTACTTCAGCCCCAGAACACCCATGGAGTTGGCACCTATGGGTGAGAGAGGTCAGAAGAAGAGCTCTCTGTTCAGCCAATGAAATATATTACCTCTTGAAAGTTAATGTAGGTGTTCCACTTGGACTCTGCACTACTGACTTCTCACCGACCCGGTCTCGATTGGGAGATGAAGTATGCTTGGCAAGCTCGCTAGTTAACATGTAGCGGGCCTTCCAACACCCGTGTCTCTCGAGTGCAGTAACAGCTTGTGCTAACGGCCAGGGACGGTAGCCCCCTCCAGGGAGGCAAGGGGGAGGGCTGAATCCCCTTTGAGATGGTGGGGAGGGGAGGCGCAAACGGGGTGAGGCGGGGGGCAGGGCACGTCCCTCCAAACGGGGGGAGGCAGGAGAGCGGGTAGCCCCCTCCAGGGAGGCAAGGGGGAGGGCTGAATCCCCTTTGAGATGGTGGGGAGGGGAGGCGCAAACGGGGTGAGGCGGGGGGCAGGGCACGTCCCTCCAAACGGGGGGAGGCAGGAGAGCGGGTAGCCCCCTCCAGGGAGGCAAGGGGGAGGGCTGAATCCCCTTTGAGATGGTGGGGAGGGGAGGCGCAAACGGGGTGAGGCGGGGGGCAGGGCACGTCCCTCCAAACGGGGGGAGGCAGGAGAGCGGGTAGCCCCCTCCAGGGAGGCAAGGGGGAGGGCTGAATCCCCTTTGAGATGGTGGGGAGGGGAGGCGCAAACGGGGTGAGGCGGGGGGCAGGGCACGTCCCTCCAAACGGGGGGAGGCAGGAGAGCGGGTAGCCCCCTCCAGGGAGGCAAGGGGGAGGGCTGAATCCCCTTTGAGATGGTGGGGAGGGGAGGCGCAAACGGGGTGAGGCGGGGGGCAGGGCACGTCCCTCCAAACGGGGGGAGGCAGGAGAGCGGGTAGCCCCCTCCAGGGAGGCAAGGGGGAGGGCTGAATCCCCTTTGAGATGGTGGGGAGGGGAGGCGCAAACGGGGTGAGGCGGGGGGCAGGGCACGTCCCTCCAAACGGGGGGAGGCAGGAGAGCGGGTAGCCCCCTCCAGGGAGGCAAGGGGGAGGGCTGAATCCCCTTTGAGATGGTGGGGAGGGGAGGCGCAAACGGGGTGAGGCGGGGGGCAGGGCACGTCCCTCCAAACGGGGGGAGGCAGGAGAGCGGGTAGCCCCCTCCAGGGAGGCAAGGGGGAGGGCTGAATCCCCTTTGAGATGGTGGGGAGGGGAGGCGCAAACGGGGTGAGGCGGGGGGCAGGGCACGTCCCTCCAAACGGGGGGAGGCAGGAGAGCGGGTAGCCCCCTCCAGGGAGGCAAGGGGGAGGGCTGAATCCCCTTTGAGATGGTGGGGAGGGGAGGCGCAAACGGGGTGAGGCGGGGGGCAGGGCACGTCCCTCCAAACGGGGGGAGGCAGGAGAGCGGGTAGCCCCCTCCAGGGAGGCAAGGGGGAGGGCTGAATCCCCTTTGAGATGGTGGGGAGGGGAGGCGCAAACGGGGTGAGGCGGGGGGCAGGGCACGTCCCTCCAAACGGGGGGAGGCAGGAGAGCGGGTAGCCCCCTCCAGGGAGGCAAGGGGGAGGGCTGAATCCCCTTTGAGATGGTGGGGAGGGGAGGCGCAAACGGGGTGAGGCGGGGGGCAGGGCACGTCCCTCCAAACGGGGGGAGGCAGGAGAGCGGGTAGCCCCCTCCAGGGAGGCAAGGGGGAGGGCTGAATCCCCTTTGAGATGGTGGGGAGGGGAGGCGCAAACGGGGTGAGGCGGGGGGCAGGGCACGTCCCTCCAAACGGGGGGAGGCAGGAGAGCGGGTAGCCCCCTCCAGGGAGGCAAGGGGGAGGGCTGAATCCCCTTTGAGATGGTGGGGAGGGGAGGCGCAAACGGGGTGAGGCGGGGGGCAGGGCACGTCCCTCCAAACGGGGGGAGGCAGGAGAGCGGGTAGCCCCCTCCAGGGAGGCAAGGGGGAGGGCTGAATCCCCTTTGAGATGGTGGGGAGGGGAGGCGCAAACGGGGTGAGGCGGGGGGCAGGGCACGTCCCTCCAAACGGGGGGAGGCAGGAGAGCGGGTAGCCCCCTCCAGGGAGGCAAGGGGGAGGGCTGAATCCCCTTTGAGATGGTGGGGAGGGGAGGCGCAAACGGGGTGAGGCGGGGGGCAGGGCACGTCCCTCCAAACGGGGGGAGGCAGGAGAGCGGGTAGCCCCCTCCAGGGAGGCAAGGGGGAGGGCTGAATCCCCTTTGAGATGGTGGGGAGGGGAGGCGCAAACGGGGTGAGGCGGGGGGCAGGGCACGTCCCTCCAAACGGGGGGAGGCAGGAGAGCGGGTAGCCCCCTCCAGGGAGGCAAGGGGGAGGGCTGAATCCCCTTTGAGATGGTGGGGAGGGGAGGCGCAAACGGGGTGAGGCGGGGCGGGGCACACGTCCCTCCAAACGGGGGGAGGCAGGAGAGCGGGTAGCCCCCTCCAATGAGGCAAGGGGGAGGACTGAATCCCCTTTGAGAGGGGTGGGGAGGGGAGGCGCAAACGGGGTGAGGCGGGGGGCAGGGCACGTCCCTCCAAACGGGGGGAGGCAGGAGAGCGGGTAGCCCCCTCCAATGAGGCAAGGGGGAGGGCTGAATCCCCTTTGAGAAGCGGGGAGGGAAGGTGTAAAGGGGGTGAGCTATAGGTGTGGACTATGGGGTTGCCTCTACGAAGTGGATCAGGCGGGACCAGCCTGCTTTCTTGGGGAGACAGAGTGCTCGGCAACATGTTCAGCTAGAGCATGGCCACCTTGTGCTGCTGAGGCACCCACATAGCCAGGTGAATTGTGGTGGATGGGGGTAGATCCAGAACCAGAGCTGGTGGCCTGGCATCACAACATTTGGGGCAAGATGGGGGGTAAGTCTTACACAATCATAGAACCAGAAGGAACCTCAAGAGGTCATCAGTTCTAGCACTCTGCACTCATGGCAGGACCAAGCACCTTCTAGACTAGGGTCAGGCAAGATTCAGCCTTTGGGCTTTCAATCTAGCCAATGTGCCCCTGCAGCACTGGGCAGCACGACTCAAAGTCCCTAGCTCAGACCTGAGCAAAATACAGGCTGCAGACCGTATTTGGCTGGCCAAGCCTCCTGACCCGGCCCACACACACAGCAGGGAGCCTCAGACAGGCTCCTTGGTTGCTTCACCATACTTGCATGCCAATCAGAAAAGTGACTGTCTGGTTTTCTCTTTCAAAACTGAGCCCAGAGAGGAGAGGGGAAGGCTTCAGGCACTGCCCCCGCCCCCAGCACAACCCCATTGTCATTTCTGGCCAGAAACCGGCCAAACGGAGCTCCCTGCTTGAATAACAGGCAGCACATGAAGCACCATCACCTCCCTCCCCTCTGGCTCATAGTTATTCACATGTGTATATGGCTCTGCAGCCTGTCTCAGCCTGAAACTGCTGAGCTGCTAGCTGGGAGTCACCAAAGTAAGTCTCCAGTAAAAGCCTGACTCTGGCACTCTAGCCCCTCTTCCCTCCCCCCCAACCCTCTACCTCTCTCCTGCACCCC